TTCTTAAAGGTGCTGCCATTAAATATCTTAATTTCAGTTTGCTGTACTTGGATGTATTTTTTTTGTGTGAATTGTGCGTATTTGGAATGAAAAGGGCAGCTAACCAGAACGTAAGTTAAACAAAGTCTGCAATTTATCTGATCGTGTTTTACCGTACGAGACGGTGAAAAAAGTTTTCTTTTGTGTTTTTTTTTTCACTTGAAATAATATCCTGTTAAAAAAAACTGAACAAGTACATTTTTTTTTGTCGCAATATTGCATAAAGCCTCAGTTATTAGTACAAATGGAAAGCGATCCTTCAAAACAGTGCACATTATTAAAATCTCAAGAGGTAAAAGTGGACACAGCCAAAATCAATATGTTATTTAACATAACTTTATTCCGAGCGGAATACCTTGTAGATAATTATACCTTGTTCACGGATAAACACTGCTCTAATAAAACACTGACTAATCCAAATTACCCATGGAGCAAGATACGAGTATTAACGAGCCTGCTTGTGTCGGTGGAAACATTTGTTCGTTGAAATATATTTTTTTTAAAGCGGACTTGTGTTGGCTTCAGTTTAATGCAGTTTAGGTATGTATTTAATTAAAAATGTTCTTTACTGTTACTGAAAACTGCAAAAGATAAAGAACCTTACGATTGCGTTAAATACCGTACGATGGTGTTATTTAAAGCAGCAGTGCACTAGTTTTTATGCGCAACAACACAGGTTTTATTTTTTCTTTGCGTTGAATATATTACTTTTTATGATAAAAACGTGGCTTATAATTCGCTAATAACTATTTTTTATCAATTATTACTGTGAGGTTGTAAATTGAATATGAGTTAATTAAAAACAAGTTGGAAGATGACTAAATATTGATCACGCGTTGCGCAAATTAATTGGGTGTTTTAGGACAAATAGAGAATAGTAATTTTGTGGAGGCGCCTATGCGGTTTCCTAATTATAAAGGGGTTTATGCAGAGTTGGCACTATTGGAACACCTGACAAAATTTTAGTTTTAAGAAAACTGTTGTGAACTAGGGAAATTTTAGTTTTTACCAAGGTTTGGCGTTCTGTCCTGTCCGATATGACGATTTTTTCACCACTAAGCTCAATCGATGACAAAGACTGGACCATCTGTCTCTGTCAACGGATATGAAAGAAGTTGGCCATCTCCACGTCATCAAATTTGCATTATGTTGTAACAAATGGCGCTAGCTGTGGAGAATGTGTTGATTAAATAGGTTTTTTTAACCCAGTCTCGGGTTGAACGGAAGTTTTAAAATAGACCGATGTACACTAGACTAAGTTGTAAAATATATTGACGAAAACCATTCATTTCTATCTTGAATCGTTTGAGAGATCTGACGGCGATGTGATAATTGCTCTAATTCGGTTAAATATTCAAGAGTGAATAAAGATGATTTAAGGATTAAGATGAAGTCTGTGTCGACTTATTCCAGTGTTTTTGCCAAATTGCATTGAATTTATTCCAGACTTTGTAGGCAAAAATTTTCATATTTTTCCAGTTGTATGTTGTCATTGTTTGTTTTTAAAATAACAAAAAAAAACACGTGTTGTTAATATTGTAATGTATTAAATATTTTTTATCTTGAAACTGCAGAAGGTGTTCCGTTCGTGGTTGTACGTCACGATTTCTATTTTTGGATGAAAAAAAATAACTCCAATTACGACGACGACGAGATGAAAAATTTATAAGGGTGATAGACATCTAGAAAATTGGAACTTTAATAGATTCCATTAAAGTTCTGGAGCACATTTGTAATTCTAAAATTAAACCTTGTTCAAAAATATTTAATTCCACTTTGGTAGATATGACATCGATATATCACTATCTTTTATTCAAGGCCATTTTTTTACAACAGCAACTTCATCGTGGAAATCCCTAGATGTCACTTTTAATGCAGTTTTTTCAGCAGGAATCCCATACAAGTGTCCCTAAAAATTATCACCATTTAGACAGCCCGCTGTAAATATCTTAATAAAATTAATTCCTCCAATAATGTGCAACTAAATCGTTTTCAATAGCAGATGCATTAAACAGAAGTTGACTTCGTTTTTTATATTACAGAATTGTTTAAACATTTACACATCTGAAGAAATCTAAATCGGTTGTGAAATTATTAAATGTTGGTTGTTGTACTGTGTATTTGTATAAACAAAAATATTTGTTGTGGTTGCATTAATGTTATAAAGTAGGATTTTGTGTTACTTTTAATTTTCAAAGTAAATATTGCACCGATAGATGTTGCTACGAAAATAATTTAATTTGTAATTGATGATGTAATGTAAAATTTAGATGAGGAGTGTATTGTAGATTTCCGTTGATAATTGACGATGTGATTGTAATCTAGATTTGGTGGAAGTTTTTAATATTGTGGAATTTTAATTTGAATGTGATAGTAAATTTACGCTATGGAGATAAAATTATTAAAAATGTCATGATAACACTTCAAAATCCAAACTGTTAAAAGTTTATTGTACGTGATAAAATAAAAGTTCTTTGTTTTAAATTACAATAAATTTTCCTAGACTTACTTTATTAAAAATATTGCAGATAGTATTCTAGGTTTTGATGTCTACCAACTTTTGAATGTCGTTTATTGTCAGAAACTAAAATATATTGTAATGAGAATATAATTCATGGATCACATGACCCCATTTCTTCCAATAGAATTTGTCCATGCCCTTAGTTACATGTCTATCACAGCGATAATAATTTGATTGCCTTATTGTGGTCTGTTGCTACCTAAATTTAAAAACTGTCAAATTTGACAAATTTTAGAATTTCATAATTTTTTTTGTCTATTATGGCTTGCCAACGTTGGGGGCAAGCTCAAAACGACGAAATCAATTCTATTATCAAAAAATATGTTCATTTATTATATTCTCATGTTGAATATAACTCGTGATATGATTAATAATCGAAGATATGGCTCGTGAAACCGAAGCAGCACATTCAACTCGTGCTTCGCACTCGTTGAATCTGCAGCTCGGTTTCACTCGAAATATTATCGATAATAATCATATCACTTGTTATATTATAATTGATAATAAATGGAACGGTTGCTCAGTCTAAAAATTGAAAAACTAAAAAAAATTAAAAAACTAGTAGCCCAGCGTAAAAATTTTAATCACCACTTTTACAATTTGTATTTTTTTTTTTTTTTTTCTTAAATAAAGCAACGTTTTCAAAAACAACCCGTACTAGATTAAAGAAGAACATTTTCAAAACAGTACTCCAGAACGTTTATGTGGAATCTTCGAGCACTAAATCATTTGTTTACAGACAATTTATTTCAATTTTATTCAATAATTTACTATTATTACACGACGTGTTAGTTTGGAAATACGACAAAATTTATTATTTCAACAGGACGGTGCTCCTGCGCATTATCATAGAAGGGTCCGGGATTACCTCGATCTGGTCTTCCCCAACAAGTGAGTCTGGAGGGGTCTGTTAACTCTTGGCTTCCCATAAATCCAGATATTACGCCTTGAGATTTTTTTCTATGTACTACAGTTAAAAAAATAGTTTACCAAACTCCAGTTGACAGTATAGCATATTCGGAAAATAAAATAACAAAACCCAGTGGAAGAAATTATGGGCGACATTTTGAGCATTTGTTACAGTTGTTAAATAAATTTTTATTCTCAATTTCAAAACTTACGTTTTTGTAAAAATTGTGATAATATCCGAGATAATGACGGTTTAATATTTTGATAAATTTTCATAGCAGTAAATTCTTGTTTAAATTCGAGGGTTTCACAAATTGATATAGAAAAAAAGTTTAAGACCAAAGTTGTACAATTTTTTGAGCACCCTATACTAAAATTATTTTCAAATCGAGTACCCTATATGTCCTTATAAATCTTCTCAGGCTTTAAAACCATGGTATATTCGAAGTAATTTCATTTTCTTGATATTTTTTATCAATGGAAGGGTTCACAAAAAAATCATAATAGGGTTATTTTTAAAATCTGGCTCACAATATTTTGTAGAGAGATAAATAAATATACGTGGTTTATTGTGGTAGAAATAAAATTGGATGTTAATATACAGAGTATTTATAAAAAATTAAATTGTAACAATTTTCAAATATCGGTATTTCAGTTTTTTCAAATAGAACACTTCTTTTATTACTCCATCGTTTTTTGTTAACTATTTTTTATATTTAGAGTTAATAGGTATTGAGACACCTCGACATTTTAAAGAAAAAACAAAAATAGAGTTCGATCCATAAAATATAGGCTTTTTTGAAAAAACTGAAATGTCGTTTTCATTTTTTTTTATAAACACTTTGTAAATGTGTAAAAATATATAGGGTAATAATCTATTTAAAAAACCAAGTTGTGCGATGTACCACAAAAACAAAACAGTCTGTATAGTTGAAAATAATTTTAGAGACATTGAAATATTAATGAACAGACTATTTTTTGTTAGATAATCAACATGATTATTTTAAAGGTGATAAGTGTTAATACTTAAAAACCTCGACACAAAAACAATAAACCCTTAAAAAGTTCGAAATTGAATTATATGAACGGAGCTGACTCGTATACCAACTGTATTTTAATATGAACTGATTATCTTGAAATAGCCAACAACTATTTCGATTAAAGCAGCTTTCCAAACAAAAAAAAAAAAAAAACGTATTGAAATCGAATCATCCGTTAATACCACAGACAGAAATTAGAGATTCGGTGAAAATGGTAACTTTATCGTATAATTTACTCGTAAGCATATTATTTTGAAGATAAAGTTATGGGCAAAAAATGATAATGAACCGGGAAATGGTGTTGTTTTTTTTTTTAAATTAGTGATAAAATTTAAATTTTCCATGTGTCACTAAACTTAAACATAGACTGAACTTAAAACTTAAAAAAGAGATAACGTTAGGCACTAAATCTGAATTGTTAACTGCTGCCACTATAAATTTTCTTCGAGTTAAACATTAATTTTTGTTATTAATTGCTTGTCTGTTTCCAGCGCCAAGTGTGGCAGACGTACAAGCCGCCATCGAATATATTTTCCCTTTGGTTTATGAATTTCGTAAAGAACGTACGCCAGAAGAAATAGCGCAATTGGCTCTGAAAAAGTCGCGTCAAATGGCGCACAGTCCCGCCTACGACGAGGAGTTCCCGGAGGAAGAAGAGGAAGAAGAAAGTGGATGGGATTAGAGTGCTAGTGATGGTGTTCTTTATAGATATAATTTGTTTAGACTTTTTCTCGATTTCTACGTTTTCGTGCTTACTTGACACTTCTTTGAAGATTTGGATCGTCCCTTTCTCGTAAATTTTACATTAAATTTTACAATCAAAACTTTAGCGCAATTTATTTTATTTGACTAGTGTATAGTCCCCGGTTTTATCATGACTTAACGGACGATTCAGATATTTCTAAGACCCAATACGAATAATCGACTGTTTTTCACACTCATGTATAAAATATCGTGTATCTGAGTATCATTAATAATTTATTTCATATATTTAGATAGAGCTGTAGGACTAATCGACTGATTGAACTACTCTTAGAGTACGAGTGGCAATAAGTGATAAGTGACCCACGATATTTTAGGTCCGCAGCTTTTAGAGTAATTTCACGTAGAAATAAGGCCTAGCATCGTCAATTTGTACTTTATACAGCCAGTAAATTGCACTTGATTCTTCGGTTGTGTGTTGCTGCAGTGCTTTTCCTGCTCTATCTTTCTTTAAAATTTTAGTCAAACTCAAACCGTCTGTGGGTTGCTTTTATGTTGTGAAATATTTATAGAACTTGAAATCGAACACATCTGTCAATTTTCGGCCTATACTGTTTCCTTTTCAGTGTTTGTTACCTTCGGCGCGTTGCATTTAAAATTTAAACGAGAATATTTTCGAGTAAAGTTTAATCGTGACGGGCTAAACAGTCCCTTACTAACATTTTCGTATGAGTGATCTACGCTTCATCATTTTAAATAAAAGTAGATCTTTATTATAATTGATGTTTCCAGGTAATTAACACTCGTACTGTAAATTGTGTCGTCAAAGTAAATGTGATTCAGAGTAACCACACTTTGTGTAAGATTGACTGTAAAAGCAATTAGGAACTCCCTGAGCCTTATTAATAGTAATAAAATAATAACTAATAAAGACAGATCTGTAATTTCGTAACAAAATTGTTTTCAATTATGAGAAGACGTGCAAGTAAAATTGCTGATTTTAGACCCTCCGTGTATTTGTTCCTTCACAGATGTCAAAATATGTGTAATGTTAATGTATACCAAATCAATAATTTAGTAGTAAATGGATCCTTGGATCATGTTCTAGATATTAATTAATTGCTTTCTTAAGTTAAAGCTTGTTCTGATAGTGTGTATTATAATTTTTATGCGTATCTACTGTATTCTGAATGTAGATTTAATAAAGTTTTCTCATTTTGTTCAATATGTTATTTTATTTAAATAAAATAAACCACCACCAAAATATAAGTAAACCGACCATTCTTTTGGAGTTTTAATTTACATTTTTAATTACATTTCAAACAAAAATATCAAATTGATGTATTTATCTATGGTCATAATATTATTGTAAACTCAAAATTATAGTTCGTTTCAAAATAAATGGGGTATGTGAGCATTTTTGCCACCCGTCACAGGTAAATAATAATAAAAAGCACAGTTGATACACCAAATAAGAATATTAATAATACAAAATACAATAGGAAAGTTATGTAGGAGATCCCACTTTATGTCTAGCCGCAATGTTCAAAAATTTTTAAGCCAGATAATACAGTCAATCATCAAAAAGCAATATTGGAGTTGGTAAAATAGGCCACACTTAATACACAGCTGTATCAGAGTGTATATAACATTATAGAAGTAACTTATGAACAATGACGTCTACCACCATAAACCTAAAATGAATGTAGACTAGGCACTATGATTTGCATCGCGTCGCCTGAGAACTTGTTTGATCTACAGACCAGAGCGCACTCAGGCCAATGTCGACTCTAAGCGTTCAGAAACGATTTGATCTAGTTATAAGCGATGTGCCGTGATTTGATACACATACTAAAAGAATTGCTTGGTTGGACTTTACAACGAATAACTAAACATGCTACTATTTTTGATTAATTAAGAAATCATTCTTTAATTATGTTTGGTACTAGCAAAATTCCGCAAAATTAACCATATCGTTATCATGCAATAGATTTTTTTCGGAAAAGTGTAGTTATTTTTATCTTTTAATAGGATCTACTTTGCATGAATTTTTATTGATTTTTTAATTTAAATTTTTAGAAGTTTTTCTCCTTTTCAATTTTACGATTTTTAAATACATACTTCGATTTAAAATTTTTGACTTTTATGAACTCTGATTTTTCATTTCTTCAATCTTCAATTTTTCAATTTTTTAGGTTTTTCATTTTTCAATTTTTAAGGCTTTGATTTTTCCACTTCACTTTTTTGACCTTTTGATTTCCCAATTGTTCAATTTCTCGATTTTCAATTTTTCGACTTCTCAATTTACCGATATTTCAATTTTACGTTTTTTCAATTTTCCCCTCTTCAATTTTACGATTTTTAAATAATTCGTTTTTGCAGTTTTTCAAATTTGACTTTTATAAAATCAGTTTTTCGATTTTTCATTTCTTCAGTTTTCAATTTTTCCATTCTTTAATTTCGCAGTTTTTGGATATTTTAGTTTTGAGATTTTTCAGTTTTTCCATTCATCAGTTTTTCCATTCTTCAGTTTTTGTTTCATGTTTCAAGATTTCGAAATTTCAGTTTTGGGATTTTTCAATCATTTATTTTTGAATTTTTCGATTTTTCAATTTTTCTATTTTCAATTTTCCGATTTCTCAATTTTACGATGTTTTAGTTTTGCGTTTTCTAAATTTTTCTCTTCAATTTTACGGTTTTTGAATATTTCGATTTTCCAATTTTTCAATTTTTAACTTTTCGAAATTCTTAATTTTTCGATTTTTCAATTAATCGATGTTTTGGTTTTCCCACTTTTTGACTTTCGACTGTTTCGTTTTTCCAGTTCTTCAGTTCTTCAATTTTTCGATTTTGAAGGTTTTTGATTTTTTAATTTTTCGATTTCTCAATGTTTCAGTTTTTTAGATTCTCAGTTTTTGGGCATTTCAGTTTTGGGATTTTTCAGTTATTTCATTCTTCAGTTTTTCTTTCATGGGATTTTTCAATATTTCGATTTTTCGATTTTCGATTTCTGGATTTTTCGATGTGTCGATTTTTTAACTTTTTTTTTAATTTATAGAATTTTAATTGCTCCATTTTTCATTTCAGTTCTTCGATACTTCAATTTTTCAAGTTTTCGAATTTTTCAAATATTTCGATTTCTTAATCTTCCGATTTTTCGGCTTCCAGGTTTTTCGTTTCTTCAAATTTTCATTTTTTTTAATTTTTCAATGTTTTGATTTCCCGATTTATCGAGATGTGGATATTTCGATATTTTGGTTGTTCAGTTTTCAATTTATAACTTTTCGTTTCTTTATTTTGGCCTATTTTGGTTTCTCAGTTTTCCAATTTTTCCGTTTTCCGCCTTTAGGTTTTTCGATTTTCCAATTTTTCAAATTTTTAACGATTTTGGCCTATTTCGGTTTCTCAATTTTTCGATTTTTCTATTTCACGACTTTTTTCTTTTCTCGATCTTTTGGTTTTTCGATTTCTCAATATTTTTCAAACTTAAAAATTTTTTTATTTCTCGATTTACCTATCAATTTTTTTCTTTTCCGATTTTCGGTTTTTCGATTTTCCAGTTTTTCGATGCTTCGATTTTGAATTATCCGATTCTTCAATTTTTCGATTTTTTAAATTTAGGAGTTTTGATTTCTCAATTTTTCGTTTTTCGGTTTTTAAATTTTAGATTTTTGAATTTTTCATTTTTTCGATTTTTCGATTTTCAGTACTTCGATTTTTTAATTTTCCGATTTTTTAAATTTACATTTTTCGATTTTTCAATTTTTCGGTTTTACGATTTTTTATGTTCCCATTTTCTTGACATCTTTGTCATAAAAAAAAAATTAAAAATTCATACAAAATAGAACACATTGTTTCCAAAACCTAAAAATAACTACATTTTCCCGAAAATAATCCACTGAATTATTACGATTTCAACAATATTGCTAATTTAAGACGTTTTGCTAATATAAAACACAATTAAAGATTTAATTCTTAGTTAAACAAATAAATAGTTGCCAGTCAAAATCGAGTGAAACATGTAAAGTAAAGTAAAGTAAAGTAAAGTTTATTATTAGTTCCCTAAGACATATATAAATGTATAGAACAAGTCAATTACAGGTTAAACATTAAAATCACAAATAGGTACATACATATACATATACATACAGATATGCAGACATAAGTTCAGATTACAATGTTGGGTCATTAAGAAATTCTTCTAACGAGTAGTACTCATTTTCAATCAGTAACTTTTTTATATAATGTTTTTGTTTATCTTGATTTATATGTGTATATATAATGTAACATGTGATGTTATATTTTTAAATATAACCATCTAAATATGTACTAAAAATGTTCACTTATTCGTTAAAAAATCCGACCAAACAACTATTTACCGCAGAAATTGTAGTCCAAACCAACCAAATCACTTTTAAATGCTTAAAGTCGACATTGGCTTGAGCGCGCTCTGGTCTGCAGATCACACAAGTTCTCTGTGACTTTTTTTTCTTCTCTAATAATTAATGTGACATTGCGCCTAGTGACTCAGCCTGTATATATATTTTTCTTCCTAAAAAACTGCATTTATTTAATTGTACTTCAGAGGCGAGGTAAATTCTGCCTAAACATCTGAGCCATCAAGGGTTTCTTGAACGGTCTCCTTGGACTTATTAAAAAATCAAGGCGATTTCATACACCACAAGTACAGGCGTATGTTAATTTATAAAATTTAAGTAGCATTTGCCATGGAAAATTTTCAGATAACATTATCAAAGTTTTGGTTTCACAATATTTCTAACATTGTAACTATATGTATGTAAATAAAATTTGATAAAAACCTTAAATTTGACCATCCAATTTAATTTTTAAATTGAATTCACGGACGCACAACTTCGTTCTCAATTATTTATAAAATTTTATGTCTTAAATTAATTATCAGAAAACAGACAGGTTTATTTTTTTGATCTATAAATTAACACTAAACCAACCACAAAATAAGCACTATTACTGTTGACTTTACTGGAGATTTTTATTTATATTCTTTTTAGATTTGTGACTAGGAAGTTTTATATAATCGTAATTTGGAATATTGCGGTCACAGATTTTTATTTCCCGCGCGTAAATAATAGGATCCATCCGGCGAATGGCTACTTTCACGTTCTCTCGAAGTTTCATAATCCCTAGAATATCAATAAATAGGTCGCCGGTTTCCGTCTGTCTGTCGTCTGTATCATCTCCACCAACAATTTGATGACTTCATCTCAACATTCTGTAAAATAATATAGTGTACTGTATTTGTGGTTTATGAATCCGATTTAAGTTTGTATCCAGATTTTCCCAAATTCCAAATTATATAAAAAAATATATATGTAACAGTACTTTTTTTAATACTGCGACTGGTATCATCTATATTTTTTACTTATATATATTTCACGCGTTAGGGAAACAATAACTTTAGCCCCTTTTTTACCCAATATAAATGCGATTCTTTAATATTAAATATGCACTAATGACTCTTGCAAACTAAAAACAAAAGGAAAGATTAATAATACTGATGTTTAAAAAAAGGTATTACATAAATATTTAATTAATTAATAAATAATTAAAAATCATTTAAAAATTAAAACATTTAACACGGTATAGAAAACACACATATGATTATTTTATTATGATTATACCAACTCTATTTTCTCAAACCGGTTATACAAACACGTTCTTGTTTAAAAAAGTTGCCAACAAAAAACTAATTATAACATAACTTTTTAGAAAAATGTATGAACATAACTATAATAACTGGAGGGATTGTAAAATTAATTGATTAATGATTTTTAAAATATTGACATGATGTGTTTTACTGTCTATTTTTTTTTTCAGATTGTATTAAAAAAATAATTAATTTACTATAACCTAGGCAGTCACAATTAAGCTGTCAAAAATCTTTAGTCATTACATATTTTACTCTACTCTAAAGTATTATTTGACTTCAGTTGTTTTATTTTTTTATCTAGAATTTGTGTAATTAATTGTTATTATTACTTGTGTTTTCTTACCGTTCCTCGAACACGACAATACCCATAAGGTTTTTCACGATCTGTTTAACAAACCGATTACTTCTAAATTTCAAAAATCTACTGTAACACTGTATTCAAAATGATAAAGCATTTAAAATAATAAAAACTTCATGGCACACGTTAAAATATTGAAAGTATATATTTCACTTGAAATATGTCATATACTACTGCATGTAATTAAATAAATTAGATCCTTAATTTCTTTATATTTACAAACACAATTTTTTAACAAAAACTCAGATTATTTATTCGTTCCATAAAACTCATAAAACTAATAGCTAAATTAAAATATTATAAATAAAGTAGCCTTGAAACATGCAATGTGATATGTACTTTTAGGCTGAGGTTAAAAAATTCATCCTTATTTTCACCTTCACTGTATTGTAGCAAAATTGTGCAGGCTCTGTTAGAAATTACTCAACGGACTTCATTAACAATTTTACTGAGATCATAAGACAATTTACCAAATAATTACTTTTTTAATTAATCACCATCTGCGAAAAGTTGATGGCGTTAATTTAAAACATTAATAAATAAATGTTCGTCGACAGTAATTTTTGTGCTTTAGAGGCGATAAAGAAAATTCTGTTTAATTAAAAACATCAAATTAATTGAACAAAAACTAAAAATTACCAACTTATGATAGCAGAATTTTTAACTGTGACGAACATAGAGCACTGTTAATTATATTAAATTCAATTTATTGTGACTTAGTAAAAAGGATTATTATCCAATCGTCCATAATAAGGACATACTTTTAATCGGAATCCATTACGATGTACCTATGTACTTTTTATTTTAAATTAACATATTAATTAAAATATACATTCCAAGCTTTAGATAATATAAGCATAGTAAATGCTTTTTTCTTTTCATCTGTGATTTATTATGAGTAGCTTAAAACTTTTTTATATGTTTATTAATTACCAAATCGACTAATTTAAAATTTCAATTATTGTGAATGCGGTGGCCAAAGTTGAAAATTGATGACGTCATCTCACTACCTTATTAACTAAATCTAAACTGGGGCATCTATACATTATTTAAAGTTCGTCTTTTCATCTTTCTCAGAAAATTGATGAAGTCATTTTATAATAAGTATTATCCAGTACATTTCGCTTTATTATTGTAATTTAAAAATAACTATTCTTCGGGATTTTTAAAATTTCAAGGCAAAACTTGAATTCACTAAAAATTAGTGTCCAAAGGAAAAGTTTCTAGTGGAAAAATAAGTATTTATTTTCTAACACTGATTAATTGCTAACAATAGAAAAACTAAGATTTTTCTTCTATATATCTTAACCGCTACAATACTGTCGGAGTGATCCAAATCGCAACTTACAGTAGAACCCAGTCCTAAAAATGAAATTTTAAAATATTTTTTATCTCATAACGGATAATTAGTTACCTCTGGGAAAGCTTCATGCATGCACATAAAGAAATTGTAGGATTTTTCGCAGTCCGCTCCGACTAAAAATAGCGTAAAAATGATTAATTTATGGTTCAAATATAACACATTAATTATTAATTTACCGGCTTTTTTAGCACATGTATCTAGGTTAGGAAGGGTAACTGATTTGACTGGATCTGGAACATTATTTTTGATGAAGTCGGTCTGCACTACCTCGTTTTCGTCGACCTGCAACAGAAGTCTTAAATTTGAATTTTATTTGTGGTTTCACAACATACCCAACGTGCATGAGTAAATAAACACTTCACGTAACACTGAAAATAAAAAAAATAATTAGGTAGGTATGTGAGAACGAATTAATTGTATCTACCATCATTGGAGCATCTTTTTTCGAAATATCAAAAGATTTGATGTCCCCTATAAATGAATAAAATTTAAATAAAATAAAATAAAAAACTAAAAAAATGTAAAAGTTGAAACCTTCGCTTAATTTTCTCTCTGTAGCACAATCTGTGTGTAGCTGTTGTGCCCATTTCAGAAACTCTGGTGGAAGTTCTACCTAAAACGATACTTTCCTATATAACCTACTAATTTAATTTTAAAACTTACTTTCCCATTTATCAAAAAGGGACAAGCTATGAGTACGAAAATAAAATATTTGAGAGCCATGTGTGTATTTTAGGATTTTTCTAAAAGTTCTTACAACTGAAGCAAATAGGAATGGCAATGAATATTTAAATACTTTACCCCACCATACATTCGTTGCACTGCATAATAATTTAATAGCTTTGTGGCGTTGCATTGTCTGATTCTATACATAATAATTGATTTATTCAGTAGCTCATTTTTAATAATAGATATTTATTAAAATACATATCACAATACATAGATGTGCATCCAAGCCGCATGACCATTAAATTGTTAATAATTTCTAGAAATAGGTTAATGCCCTTACTTTGTAATTTTAGAATTGTCTTTCCTGTCTCTTATTTTATGTCTTTTATTTTTTGTTTAATAGTAATTAAAAAGGAGAGATTTTTATTCTATGAAATCTTGAAATCCTCTTACCTCTAAAATTAATAACGAATAATTGTTGCGTTTTGCTTTTATTTTTAATTTTGCTTTGTAACTAAGCTCTTTGTAATTATTGTGATACGTAATGTTATTCAGCGATAATAGATTGCGGTTATACAGGGTGTCCCAGAATTCGCGCCATTCCCGTGAATGACATGTTCCCTGTCCCGAACTGTGCCGTAATTCGCAAAAAGAATTGTCCAGGCTTTAACCGTGTGAGAACTGGAAGGCGATTAAGTTGACCAATAGAGAGGCTGCTTTTATATCCGAACGTTTCTATGTTCAAAGTTACCTATGCCAAGAACAAAAAATCGGGTAATACTAAAGTTGAATGAATTTTTTTCGAATCCCCCTCCGTCAACAAAAGGAAACAGAAGTGTGGTTATAAATTTAATCATTTTGACAATTGTTTGTCATAAACTGTCACGAAGTTCATCACTGACCTGAACAGACGCTTCTGCCCCCAAAGATGACTGATTAATGTACACAGAGACGTCAAGGTTTACTTTAAGGCAAGTAGCATGGCACAGAAGTTATTTCTGCTGCCATTCTAGTTAAATTGTGTTTAACTGGGCTGTACATGTCATAAGAGAAGCTGTTTCATTTCATCGTAGGCAAATAATACATTTATTACTATTCTACATAGAGTAGCTACCGAAGAGCAGGTATTAGAAGTCATTTTCTTAGAGCCCCGTGAATAATGTGTTGTTCTTTTTAACGAAAATTAGTACATTTTCAGAATGCATCATATGCCTGATATTAAGTTTATCGTTATTTCTAAAAAAGAGTACCACATGTCCATTCAAAGAACGTTATTAAGTGTATTTAAACATAAATATCGCTTTTGATTAATCAGTGATTATGATTTTCAATAAACAGTATCAATTTTTACTGAACAGCTTTGTTGCTGATACCTAATCTAAGCAACGAAAAAATAGACGAGACTCCACTTCTCTGGTGTATTAAGATCATAGGTATCTGCTGTGGTGTCAATCATGTGGGGGAGATACTGAAAACTGAGACTTATTCAAGAATAATATTGATGTTGCACATGATGATTTAAGACAGTTTCTTTAAAGTTGTGAGTACATACTTTCTAGAGATTGAAAAGATACGAATAAAAATTATAACAATAGTTGCAATTTTTTTTAAGAACAATACAAACAATTTATGGAGAATGTACACGCTATGCAGCCACTGCTGTGCGCGAATATACAGGTCTTTTCCCCAATCATCGGCTCCTTGACCAGCATGTGTTTCGTCGTTTGTTGCATCCAGCAAAAGAAGATGGATCTTTTCAGCCTATGCGGAAAGCCGTGCTGGGGCTCCACGGATTATACGCATAGACGGTGAAGAACAAGTGGCACAAATGATTGGATGCTCAAGATCGATCATGCATCGTATCCTTACAGAGAAAAATCTGCATCCTTACTATTGACGAAAGTGCAGCATCTGCGACGAGCCGACTGCGCGACGAGTGCATGTTGCTATATGGTTACTGCGACAAAATGAACTAAATCCTGATTTTTCACGGCACATTCTTTTCGCTGACGAATGTTGATTTTCCCGAAAAGGAATATTTAATGCGCACAATTCACTTCTGGGCAAACGAAAATCCACATTTCGCTAACGTGAGAGCATATCAAGAGCAATACTATTAATCTATGGGCTGGAATCGTTGTACTGTAACGTTATTAAACAATGTGCTCAAAATGACCACCATTAACTTCAATGCAAGTTCTAGCTCGTTGAATTATGTTGTGTTGTGTATTATGTAACATCTCAGGAGTAACTGTAGCGTAGGCTTCGTGCAGTCTCTCTTCCAGTTCTTCTAACATATCTAGGGGTTCTCTATATACGTAATTTTTAATTTGATTCCAAAAAAAAGTCCAAAGCAGAAAGGTCTAGAGATCTAGGAGGCCAGATATTAGTACTGCCACGCCCAATCCACCTATGACGATACTCTTTTCAATGTTCGTCGTACAAGTATCGAATTATGTGGAGGAGCGCCGTCGTGCTGAAACCACATATTCCGCCGTACATTCAAAGGAACGTCTTCCAACAATGCCGGAAGCTCTAGTCGTAGAAAATTAGCATATGCATCCCCATTAAGGCGATCAGGTAATCTGATAATTTTATCAGATGCATTAAAATTTTTACCACAGTAGTACCAATGATTCCAGCCCATAGATTAATAGTAAATCGCTCCTGATATGCTCTCACCCTAGTGAGATGTGGATTTTCGTGTGCCCAGAAATGCCAATTGTGTGCATTAAACATTCCTTCTCGGGAAAATGAACATTCGTCGGTGAAAAGAATGCGCCGTGTAAAATCAGGATTTAGTTCATTTTGTCGCAGTAACCATTGAGCAAAATGTACTCGTCGCGGGTAGTCGGTTGGTCGCAGATGCTGCACTCTCGTGTAATGGTAAGGATGCAGTCTTCTCTCTTGAAGGATACGATGAGTGGTCGATCTTGAACATCCACTAATTTGCGCTACGTAGAGGACACTTCTCCTAGGATCCGCTTCCATGTTTCCTAACACTTGCTCTTCAGCACCTACACGTACATTCCGTGGAGCCCCAGCACGGCCTTTCCGACTAGGTTGAAAAGATCTTCTCTTGCTCGATGTAACAATCGGTGAAACACATGTTGGTCTGGGTGCCGACGATTATTCACGGGGCTCTAAGAAAATGACTTCTAATACCTGCTCTTCGGTAGCTACTCTATGTAGAATAGTAATAAATGTATTATTTGCCTACGATGAAATGAAACAGCTTCTCTTATGACATGTACAGCCCAGTTAAACACAATTTAACTAGAATGGCAGCAGAAATAACTTCTGTCCCATGCTACTTGCCTTAAAGTAAACCTTGACGTCTCTGTGTACATTAATCAGTCATCTTTAGCGCAGAAGCGTCTCTTCAGGTCAGTGATAAACTTCGTGACAGTTTATGACAAACAATTGTCAAAATGATTAAATTTATAACCACACTTCTGTTTCCTTTTGTTGACGGAGGGGGATTCGGAAAAAATTCATTCAACTTTAGTATTACCCGATTTTTTGTTCTTGGCATAGGTAACTTTGAACATAGAAACGTTCGGATATAAAAGCAGCCTCTCTATTGGTCAACTTAATCGCCTTCCAGTTCTCACACGGTTAAAGCCTGGACAATTCTTTTTGCGAATTACGGCACAGTTCGGGACAGGGAACATGTCATTTACGGGAATGGCGCGAATTCTGGGACACCCTGTATAATATTTCTATATGTTTTAAACTGTCATTAACAAAAAACTGTTAAAAATTCAAAACCAAATAATTTTTCAAAAAGTAGTTACGGTACCAAAGATGCCTTATAATTTTCACTTTAGCTGTTATCTTATACGTCACATTTACTTTAATGATGATTTAACAATAACCGACACTTGATTTGTCAACATTTTGAAGCTTTAGCCACTACATTTAAGTGTCAAAACACAAATGAGAGATGTAATGTGGATTTCAACATCCAGATGACGTATATATTATTTTATTAAAGATTGTTTTTTTTATTTTGTATATGAATGAAAAAAACCTAGAAGCAATTAGAACATCATCTCCGAAAGGTTGTATTTATGTTTAATTACACAAAAGTGATTGCGATAATAGATGACATGCTATTTATCAACTTAATTTACGTTTTTGGATTTCTTTAATTAGTTTAATCATTTGTGATTAATTAAACTATTCCTTCCATGACACTTTAGCTTATTAATTCTTTCAGTACTTTGGACATGTTATAATTATTATCCCACCAACTACTTATTATAACTAAAGACAAAAGTTTCCGTAATATTTTACAAGTTATATATTTTACACAGTTTATAGTATAGTATATGTATATTACATTAATACAACAAAATCAGTGTGTTGTTTTCGCCAAATCCGTCAACAACCTATCTATTGCAACATCGCCCACAGTTTGTCTAAAAATCAGTTCCTCCAGTCCTCTCCTAGTAACAGCTTGCACCGCCGGCAAGGTTAACAACAGTTTACCGAATCTTCCTTTATGCGAACTTTGCCTCTGATTGCAGTACTCATGCAACATGACGTGTGTTTGATCTTGTAATAGTTCCACGTGACTAGGCTCACAAAGTCCCCTACATTCCGACTTAAACAACACCAAAGCCTTAAGACACGCATGTTCCGTATGATCAACTCTCAAAAGCGTTAGTCTTGTGATAATTTCCCTCAAACGTCTAGCGTCTTCTTCTAAAGCTGCATGCCTTGAAGTTGGAGCTATAGCATTACTGACTAACAAAGCTAAAACGAAAAGTTAAAACGTTTGTTGCCAAATTAAAAAATAATTACTTTCGTCTACAGGGAAGGCCCATTGTGCTGCTGTTAGCACAAACAGCTCACTCCAGCTTTCTTCCAGCAAGATCGACTGATCTCGGTACGACAACTGCAAAAACGATGGTATACTTCTTGCCCACTTTATAGCAAGAAATAGCAGTTTGGCTGCAGATTCGTAGACGTTTTCAGCAGGAAATAGGTTTAGGCATGGAATGTCTAAAGGTCTCAGGGTGGGTTTACAAGGTTCGTTCATTATTGGTAACTCGAGGTTGCTTTTATTATCTTCTGAGATTTCTTCCAAGGAACTTTTGTCTCGATCTCGTGCTGTTTCTTCCGAACTTGTTACTTCGTCCTCTTTTAGAGACCGTGTTGGTAGATTCATGACTGACGTGTGTGAGGTTGGTTTATTGTAGAAACCTACATTAATTAGTTAATTAAGTAATGAATCTCTAGAAACTTCTTGCTTACCAAGTGCTCCAGGTACTAATCCAGACGGTTTGGGGAACGATCCCAGCATTCCGGGATAAATGTAGTTTTGGTGGAGATAATGACTCGCAATTGACGATGAGCCACTTATCGAGCCTTCTAAAGTTGGAGGATGCAGTGGAAGAGCAGAAAAAACCGAAGAATGAAGTCCTCTCAGTCTGTTACCAAAGGTCAGAGGATACTGGTGGAGGTTCGTTTGTGTAGATCGGGGCGCTCTTTCGTGCTGGACTGCTGCAAATTTTTTGTTTACTTAACAAGGGCGTTTAATTTAGGGTGGAAAAATGAATAGAAGAATCAATTATCGGTGGTTGGAGTGTTAACTAAGTGAATCGAGAGAATTGCAGGGTGAAATAAATATTTACCCCACATCCTAATAGAGACACTGACGGTCCCTAATTTGTTTGCTTTTGGTGTGATTATATCACGCTCTACAAATTAATATTTGATCTCTACTGTTTAAAATTTAAAAGTTGAAGAAAATATACTGACAGTATATAACATAATTACGTATATTCATACGTTTATATCGGGTGATTTTTTAAATTTCTGGTCTAGTTATCCATGACGCTTACGTCAACAGTGAAATTGAAACTGCTGACGTAAGCGTCATGAGTAACTATAACAGAAATTAAAAAAACACGATATACAACGGAGCTGATAGTGTGCAGTTATGGTATTTTATTATTATTATTATTATTATTATTAAGTAATAAAGATACAGTGAGGACCTAGGTCCTATAAACTGTAAAACTTAACTAAAAAACGGCAATGGAAAATGTATGGATAACTTATATACTTAAGTGTGCTAAGAAACTGCAAAAATATTTAGTTACACATTTTAGCTGATGTCTTTTCTGTTAATAGAGTTAAAATTAGATATTTTGAATAAAATATACGAAGTAAAAATAGCTTACTTTATGATGAAATCAAACTATTATTTGTGCTTTTAGTTGTTCAAATAAACAGTGTAAGTCAAATAATCAATATAAAAAAACAGACAAATTTTATTACTTTACTTTAGTACTCAAAGGGGTCGCCATTTACTTCGTGATAATAATGAAGATGTTGAATAAACAACTTACTTTTAACAAAAGTTATAAGTTATCGTTATTAGATAAGTGACAGGGTTTCACAAAATTAAAATAAAAAAAAATAGTTTTATGTTATTGGACACAACTTCCCCCACACTTAAAGTACAATCAAATAAATCCAATTTAAAAAACTATAACAGATAATACCAGTCACAGTGTGAGAAAAAACTGGGCCATGAGAGGATCGATCGCGACTTTCGCTATACCTCAGATTCTTTTGAGTACAGTGCGTATTAACATAAAAATTTGTTTTATAATTTGGATTTTTTTGCAAAAATCTAGGCACCTAGGGTAAAAAACAGAGCGGATTCGTAAACCACAAATGCAGGAGTATGTTATTTTAGAAAATTTAAATATCATTTAATTAGCAAAATTTTGAGGTGACGTCATCAAATTCTTAATGAGGATGATCAAGTTTTGTTTGTGTTCTACCATCTAAACCATGTTCCTAAAATTTGGAGATTATCTATCTAAGTATAAATAAACATTGAGAAACATGAAAGTAGTCCTTCATCGGATGGACTCCATTTCTATAATCCTTCAGCTTACGTTAAAGAAGTAATAAATAAACTAATGACACTAAGACAAATTACAAGTGAAGTGAGACTATTTGCCTTCATTATCTCACTTTATTAAACTGAAAACTTAATTAACGTGTAAATATCCAATTATTAACACGATACAATGTAACGTACAATTTCAAAGTTTCAAGTACAAAATTAAATATATACTTTTATAAACTTTGTGTAATTTTACAAAAAAACACTGTTTGATTTGATACGGGTTTAATCAAAATTTCAAAACTGGCTATTTCAGCTAGACCGAGGATAAGAATCTGTTTCGTATATCTTAAAAATCTTAACAGTTTCTTTATATTTTTTGTCACTTTTATTTCCCGAGCATAAGCCGTTTCATGAGCTATAGAGTACGAAAAAAATAGATCTCCCGTTTCCGTCTATCTGTCTGTCTGCCGTCTGTCCGGATTTTTATTAGATAGATAATCTCCGAAATTACTGGACCGATTGTTATCAAATTTTGTATGTATATATAAGGAAATTATTAAAACGTTAAGCAAAATATGTCCACCCCAACAACGTGATGACATCACCTCAAAATTTTGTACAATAAATATAAGTAAAATTTGCTCATTTCTCTGTTTTAAGGAAACAAAATCAATCAAATTTCATTTTCTTTTAACAAAAACGTAATCTGAACGTGCTTATCGAATTCTTTGGAAGTACAAACATAGAGAACAATTCTTTTAATTTTGGCAAAATGTTGTAAATCGGGATCTTTCTGTTTTTGTCCAACACACTCTACAGTTGTAGATACACAGAAAACAGAAAGATATCAGAAGTCGTAATTCGTACAGTTTGACAACACCTTGTCAAAATTAAAAGAATTCTACTATAAACACTCGAAGTTAAGCATGTTACTGAGAGTAGATATATATTTCCCCTTGGTTATCTGCTAAATACATTTTATATTGTCAGCACGGAGGTGTTATTTAGCCAATGGTTTTTACTTTGTATAAGTTATCACAAAAGAAAACTCGCAAATTAACTTCAACACTTCAGGCAAGGGGGAAGTTCTGTTGAAATAAACTTCAGCCAATTATTTAAGTATGAACAGGACGATCAGAAAGTCTACAGACGGATAACAAACATTAGTAGCGTAAATTAGAGAAGTATTATAACTAGTATCCACTTAACAAATGACTAATTTTATGTTTTGTCGAAGTTTCATATATAACTCCTAGATATGAAAAAGTAGTTTTCCTGTTTCCGTCTGTAGTTTGTCGTCATTGGCGATTTTCTTAGGCAATTTTCAAAACTACTGGACTGATTTTTGTCTCATTTTAGATATATTTTAAGAATATCGTATAAATGGTAAACACTAACCAAAAATTCTTTGACATTCCCAGCAAAAATTGATAATTTCATCTTAAATGACGAACTCCAGTCAAGTTCTATTTAAAATGTGTGTTTAATTTACCCATACGGGGCTAGGCTGTTAAAAAAAAGCGCTAATCGTATTTTTTTTGTAGTACTACGTATTTACTATAAGATTTATTCCTTATTTAAAAATAAAAAAAATGAGAGAACGGGTGGGTGGGCGGGGCTAAGTTTAACTTTTTCCCACAGTCTTTTCTAAGCAAGCAATAGCCCCACTCACTCACCCCCTCTTCCTTCCAGTCACTACTCTTAATGTTGTCCAGTCTTATTTTAGCAAGTTTTAGTCCCGCCCATACACTCTTTATTTTCTTAGAGGATACGTCATTTGCCACAATTAGTCTTATTTTAACAAGTGCTGGCCCCGCCCACCCACCCTCTATTTTCTTGGAGAGTATCTCATTAGCCAAAATCAGTCCTATCTTAGCAGCTACTATCCCTCCCCACCCAGCCTCTCTTTTCTCTCTCATTTGCCAAAATCAGTTTTATTTTAGCAGGTAGTATCCCCGCCCACCCACCCTCTTTTTTCTTAGAGGGTATCTCATTTGTACAAAAAAAAAATAACTTCGTAAAAGCAACTTTTTCAGTATGTGCAGAAATAAATAAAAACAAACATTTTTTAAAACTTCTTTAAATGAATTCTAAAATTAATGTAACACACCAATAATAATTTAAAAAATTACTCATTTATTAATTTTTTGAGCCACCTGTTTAAGCAAATCTAAAACATATTAATGCTGTGATAATTCACAAGTAAAAAACAGATTTTGATTAACAATTTGCCATGCTTATAATAACTTTAAAACGTCTGCAAGATTCAGTTTTACAATTCTTGATTTATTCAATAAAATAAATTGACTGATTCATTAATTTTTTAGTGATCCCTGTGTAAGCAAATCTAAAAAATGAGGTTCTTAATTTGATCAATAAAAAATTTATCACAAGGCTGTAAGTATAATCCGACAAATCCGGCTCTTTAAAGGAATTATAAAATTTGAGTTTACGATTTTCGTTTTGTGATAAAAAGTAAAAATCAGAGACATAAATAACACCCCCTGTCCTCCAACGGTAGGTAGTAGCAATCTGAAGCTCAATTGTTTATTTATGTTTATACATCGAAAGATTGTCAGGTAGAAGTTAGTTTGATTTGAATGAGTTTGTCTTCTCAAAACAGGAATAAAATTATTAATTAAATCGAACAAAATGTTCTGAATATTATGTGACTCGTTATTAACTTGACCAATAAAAAATGTGATGACGTCATCAATATAATCTTAAGAAAAGTAGTCACAGCGTTATAACAATGTAAGAAAAGAATAATAAAGGGCCAAATTCGACATCGAACCACAATCGCAGTACCGCAGGTCGCCATTATCTCTGATGCACCCACTGCGTCACGGAGACGTACAAACCGGATCGGGAGTAAAACGTTATTATAACTTGCAAAAGTTTTTGCGAAAATTTGAACGTTTAGCGAAAAAATTTAAAGTGGATTCGTACACTACAAGTAGATGAGTATATTTTTGTGTAACATTCAAAGCATTTTAGAATACCATTAATTGAAATGACGTCATCAAATTGTTGGTGGAATAGGTGACTACTTTTTCGTACTGTAGGGGTCATGAAACGTCGAGAAAACATAACAATACTTCCTTCGCTCATGGAAGTAAAAAATATATAAAAATGACTTATTTAAGTTTAGTGTTTAAAAAAAAATGATTTACATAATTTTTCTAAAGTTGCTGGAAATTTTTAATGTAATACATGAATGACAAAAAATTTGAAGAATTAGCTTTTATAATTTACCTGGGAACTTAAATTGAAGTGTGCAAAGTTTTCTTAAATAATTTTAGACCAGCTTTTAAAGTGTTTAGAATCTGTCAAAAAGTTCTAGCACAATCATCAAACATACTATTTCTAGAAATTATCAACGTTTTGTGGACTTTTTGTAAGTATTTAATTAACTTTCATTTTAAAAATAGTTCGCTTTGGCGTTCATAAATGCAGAATTACCTACTCTTGACAATTTGATAGTTTGAAACGTAGTCACCTTTTAATTTTTCTGATAAAATGGTGTAGCAGATAATTGATAAGAAATACTCCTAATAAATTTGTGTCACCTTTTTTGTAGCTTTGACAAAACGTCAATTCTAAAGCCATTATAAACGCATAATATAAAGCTTTCTTTAAAAATGAGCCGAACGGGGTTGCTTGATGGCATGGGAACAAGCACCTGCACTTCGTAACCAAACACGTTGTCCTATTGTCATGTCATGGTCGGCGTTGGGCTTGTAGAACCCCCGGTAATGATGATTACACAAGGGAGTTTTTGAATATTTTATATCCTGACTTCTGGCTTTAGCGTTCGAGTGGTCGGGGGTGTACGGGCCACGGTTGAGTTAATTACTATCTAAATGCCGCGTTTTCCTCTTCAACACGACAGGTCGATATAACATTAACAACAATTTACGTGTAATGAGGGCGCAGAATGTTATATTAGGATTTACTGATAGATAATATACCGTCTCTTTTCATGTTGACTTGCAGACACTTTTTGAAGCGGCAGGCTTGACATTGATTTCTTCTGGTGACGTCTACGATACATCGGCCGTTTTCTTTACACACGTATTCTAAATTTCTGGAGAGGGAGATGCTGTTTTTATTATTAGTGTTTTGGTATGGGGTAAGGGAGTCATACCGTCGTATGCTCCTTTTAAAAAATCCTCGACAACCGTCGCAACTTGCCACTCCGTAATGTTTTCCCGAAGCCTTGTCGCCGCAGACTCTGCACAGAGATTCGTTTTTGCTGTTGCTGATGTTGTCGTCCATCTGGAAAAAGTAATAAAAGTGGGATAAACGTGGTTACATTTACTACATGTGTAGTTCATTTCTTATCGGTTACGAAGAGCATTCAAAACTTTCTTATTTACTGTCTTAAATTTACAAAATTTTTAACATTATAAAAGAGAAGGTCACAAGACAGTTTCTAATTTTTGCACAAATATCGTTTAGAAATTTGTCTTTTAGATGGAGTCTTCATGAACCGACAATATTGTGGATTTTTTTAAGTTCTTTACAATACGATAGATGTTGCATACCACTTGATTACATTTCTGAAGAAAATTTCTGCGATCCACACAGTATTTTAACACATTACACCATTACACATTAGTCATTCATTCAAAGACAAACCTTCAAAAATTCATGGCTGTTTTTGATCGTGTTTTTTATTGCTGGATAAATTTTAAACGCATTCTAAGAGTATTGTCTAGATCGAAAAATGCGTAAATTTATCTAATCATCTTCACCAAACACCTTGGACGTTATCTCAAAATTTTGTTAAGGAAATTTATACCAAGAGAACAATGAAAAACAAGATCAAAGGCAGCCATGGATTTTTGGAAGCTTGTCTGGGATCGTTGCATTTTCAACACAAACTTTCAATTTCACGTTAATCTGACAAAACGAAAATTTTATCAAAGACAAATCTTTAAAAAATCGATGGTTGTATTTGATCGGCCTTTTTATTGGTCTCCCATTAAAAAATATAGGTTTGCGTCACGATGCCGAAGTATATATGCGTCATATGTATTGTATGCAATGAATAAAATTAAGCTTCCTAATTCAAGCTAAAAATTTTCACAGAGTTTTAATATTTCTATCCGCTTTCAAAATATAAGACCACGAACTTTTCTGGGACCCCTGTATAGTGTAATAAAAAGCTGCTTTTTATAAAAAAAATTACACATCAACTCAACGATACATAATTAAATTCACAACTCTAAGTTCGAGAATTATCATTAAAAAATTCTCGACGTCAATTTGACGTTCACCTACAAAAACAAAATGTCGATTTAGATAGACAAATGAGAAAATGTTAAATTTAGCCGCGTAAATGTTATGTTATGAAATGAAGAAATCTATGGATAAAGACCAGATGCCTTCAAAGTTATTTTAAATAATGAAAATCGAATTTCAGGTACCCAACATAAAGTAGTGAAATTAAATATGCTGAAATTTTGAAAAAAAACCTTTGTGCTGTATCTTCTACATTTGGACAGAAGGATTTTTTAAATTATTTGTTATCTCCTCCATAAATGGTCCTGAACAACGTGTAATAGAATTGGTGTGCCATTTGTTGAACACCCTGTATATACAAAAAAGTTCAAAATATATTTTTGTAGGCCTGTATGTAATTTAATTTTTTTCTACTTTGTAGAGAGTATTGTAAGTGCTTTTCAAAAACAAGAGGATAGTTTTTGACATAAAAAAAACTAAATATTAAGACTACTGGCGATAAAACTATATTGTTATAAATTTTTATAATATCATCTGCATACTTCATTGTTTCTAAGCGTGCAAAATTTATATCTATTTGTATTAATATACTGCGGTATGTCATTTACATGTATTGAAAACAAGAAGGGACTTAGAATTGACCCTTCAGGAACTCCTCTTCCTATTTCTCATAGTTTATTCTGAAATGCTGATTGAGTTCTATTATACTAATATATGATTTAATATGGTCTCAATCGCGAAGTACAATCAAACAAATCCAGTAATTTTAGAAAAAATATAGCTAATACCAATCACGGTGCAGAAACAAAGGCCTATGAGGGGATCGAACGATCACGTTAATAGAGGAGCGGCTGGTTAACGTAACCCTTCAATTAAAATAAAATTTTGATTTTTTTGAGAAGACTTAGGTGGGTAAAAACTCACGGGGATCCATAAACCACAAGTACAAGAGTATTAAGTTATTTTATAAAATGTAAATAGCATTCACCACACAAAATTTTGAGATGACGTCATCAAATTGTTGATAGGGATGATTAGACAAATTTTGGTTAGCGTTTTACCATATATGCAATATTACTAAACCACATAGCGAGTGTTCGGTTGAAAAATTGATCGAAAGTTATTTCGACAAAACTTTCTTCGGCCCTAAAGTACAATAAAACAAATCCAGCTTTTTCCAAAGATAAAATTTTCGTTATATTAAAATAAATGTAAAGAAGTATGCTGCGCGTATGTTTCAAATGAGGTTTCTCTTAACAAAATTTTGTGATAACGTCATTAACATTTTTACAAAGGCAAAAATCTATCACTGTAGTAGGTGTAGTGTAATACTAATGGTAGCAGTATTGCATTTCCAAATTGGTTTTATTGATTTATTCAGTGAAATAAACTGGTTCATTCATTTATTTAAGTCACCCTGTATAGGTAACTCACGAAACTATGAATCCACTGATAAACCACAAGTATAGAGTCATATTTTGCATATTTCAGAGAGGATTTATTGTGCAAAATTTTGAGATAAATTCACCAATTTTTCGGAAGGGATAAATCAATAAATATTGATTAACAATTTACGATAACGATTCCGATAACCTTAATACGTTTGCAAGATGTCAGGGCATTCGGTTTTATAACTTCAAAGTTAAATTGCAAAATATTGTTATACAATTTTTGGATATCTACGATGAAAATTCGACCCCGATTCATACACCACAAGTACAGGAGTATCTTGTTTTATAGAATTAAAAACAAATCATTATGTACAGTATAACCTCTATAATCCGAACCCACGATTATCCGAACATCCGTAATCCGAACAGAGGCTAGTCGATGTCTGTTTAATTAGAACAAAAGCTCTGCAATCCGAACTGAAATTGCAAAAAGGGTAAAAGTCGAAAATTTCATTTTTGAAAAAGTCGTCTAAAAATTGTGAAAAAATTCAGGGTTATAAATCTGTGCTGATTCCAAACATATAGCTTATTTATGGTAACGGAGCAATATTTTCGGAATATTCGCTGTGAAATTAAATTTTTTTTAAATTTTTAAAAATTGCGATAATTCAATAGGTGATTCAGGAAAAACAATTGAAGTTATCGAAGAAATTAGATCGGAAGCGACTTCTGCGGCCCGAAATCTACAAGAAAATGTAGTTAGATAAATTTAGAAAATCGTCGAAAATGGGTCGAAAGAACATATATTTAGCAACGCCCACCCACCCCGCCACCATTTCAGTGACGCATTTTATCTAGTCTGAAAGGTGGATCTTATATTCAAAAGAAATAAATTCGTTTGAATGAGTAGTACCTGCTAAGATAAGACTAATTTTGGTAAATGACATATTCCCTAACAAAATAAAGGGTGGGTGGGCGGTTCTAGTACCTGCTAAGATAAGACTGATTGTGGCGAATGGCATTCTTTCTAGAAAAATAAAAGACGGCGAGGCGGGGCTAGTACTTTCTAAGATAAGATATTGGAAAAACAAGATCCAAAGATAGTGAAAATATTGAAGAAAAGCAATTGTTATAATTAGTACAAGAGAGAAGACAGGAGATTTTGAGTGGAAATTAAACTTTTTTTAACAGCTTTCAATTCAAGTTCAATTTGTTCCCATTTCCACACTACAAAAGAACATATCTTTAGTCCCGCCCACCCACCCCGCCTCCATTTCTGTGACTGATTTTATCTAGTCTGATTGAAAATAATTGGAGTGATTGAAAAAAATGAGACCAGAGGTGACTTCTGTGACCCGAAATCTACAAAAAAATGTATTCACTTAAATTTCGAAATTCGTCGAAAATGCATAGTGTAAAATTTCATTTTTGAAAAATTGTCTAAAAATTCTGAATTCTAGATTCCGACGTGCAGATTCCAAAAATAAAATAATGACATACCCTAAAAAATAGAGGGCGGGTGGGCGGGGCTAGTACTTGCTAAGATAAGACTGACTTTGGCAAATGACATACGCTTTAAAAAAAATTAAGGGCGGATGCGCGGGGTTATTATTTGTCAAAATAATACTGAATAATATTGCAAGCCAAAAGTGACCCCGCCCACCCACCCCTATTCCGTTTTGAACACTCATTTTATTGGCTCTGAAACGAAAGTTGGACTCCTATTGTTGTTTATAAAATTAAAAGAATTGATAAATTGATAACCAGCAGTATTTCACTCGAACTGGGGAATCAAAGTAACAGTTGATGTACAGTAATAATCGTGTAGAGGCAGGGGCAGATGAGACCAAACGAAATTTTACTTTATTTGAAAGTACATATATATAAAATTTGTATTCGGGCATCTCCGCTCTAGTGTATCACGGCTATAAGGCGCTTCTGGAAAATTTCCGATTTCCATATGGTCCCATCCGCCCCTGCTTTGAGATTTCGGTGATCTACCTGTGTGTTGTTTTTGAACAATTTGAAAGAATCTTTGGGATCCCTTATCTTGTTTTTGAAGTATGTATGTACTTTGAAATAATTTTGGGGACTTCGTGTATTTTTTTTAAATAAGTAGGTAATTTGAAAGAATCTCGAGGACCCTCTGCGGGTCTTGTTTTTGAAGTAATTTAAAAAAATCTCGGAAACCACTTGCGTCTTATTCTTGAAATAGTTTGAAAGAATCTCGGAGATCCTCTTTTGTTTTGTTTTTGAAGTAGTTTGAAAGAATCTCGGGGACCCCATGTTGGTCTTGCTTTTGCAGTAAATTGAAAGAATCTCAGGGATCCCTTGTGTTTTGTTTTTGAAGTATTTGAAAGAATCACGTCACGGGGACATCTTGCCTTTGTTTTTTAAGTAGTTTGAAAGAATCACGGGGACCCCCTGTGGGTCTTGTTTTTGAAGTAAATTGACAGAATCTCAGGGACCTCTTGTGTTTTGTTTTTGAAGTAGTTTGAAAGAATCACGGGAACTTCTTGTGTTTGTTTTTTAAGTAGTCTGAAAGAATCACGGGGACCCCCTGTGGGTCTTATTTTTGAAGTAAATTGTAAGAATCTCAGGGATTCCTTGTGTTTTGTTTTTGAAGTAGTTTGAAAGAAT